AAAACAGTGGCGTATTTGCATGGGTCGATCGGGGGAAACATATCATCCCTCTGGGCCTTAATTTTTATAAATATGTTAACAATTATCTGTTTAGTGTGTTAAATGGATAAATAAACAAAATTATACTATTAGGTTAGGTAACTGTTACCAGTTAACAAAAATGGTATGCATAAAAAAAAAAAAATTGCTGTGGATTATTACTTCGTGTCCGGACTTTAACTAGCCGGTAAGTTAAGTGACTTGTTTTTGTGACCCTTAATCCGACTTAAAGTCGGCACTTGTCCGGTCCTAACGAAAATACAGCTAATATTTTTAATTCTATCTCCCAACCGTTGTGCCAATGTCGTAAAGTCCATTAAAGGTTTAGATCTAGTTTCGCCTGTGGATTTTCAAAAACAAAAAAATTATTCTACGTTCACTTAACCTAACTTTTTTTACTGCCCTAGTTTTTCGGACCATCTTCTGCTCATAATAATATTAAATATTATGGAAATTGTTTAAAAAAATACAGTTTATTTGGTACAACTCGCATGGGATTTCGATCATTTCCAAAGATAACGGTGACACGGTTGCCGATGGAAAAAACAATAACGTAACTCCGATTAAAAAAAATACATATATCATACACTGTGTAGACAGGTAAATAGGAAGGCAAACTATACAGCAGAGTTAATATTCTGTTTGCTTAGTCAATTTCAAGTTAATACCGTTTTTCGCGCCATTAAACAAACAAAAAATACAAAACGTCAGTGATATTACTACAGCGCATATGTCATAATATCCACACTGTGTTTGTTTTATGCAAGGCTAAGGGCTCGTGTGTTGTTTCAAGTTTGTCGTATCAGCCGCGTTGGTCTGAGTACACGATAATATGATATTGGTAAGTATATTATTAATATAGAGATGATGTGGTACATAAGCCCCGCTTTGACTGCAACCAAGTTCATGAAAATCGTATGATATAGTATAAAAAATTATCAAACATAAAATTGATTTTTACAGATTCGGTTAGATTAGGTATTATCTAAAGGGTTTGCCACATTACGAAATTCACAGTGAAATAGAGTAGCTATAATAAAACAAAATAAAAATCAGCAAAAGTAAATCACATTACAATTTGTAATATCAAACAATAAATGAATAGTACAAGAATGTGTATTTAAATTTAATTACGGCAATACGTTGCAGACTTTTCAACATGATGACTTTAACCGTGATAAATGATAATACAATTTTTGGATATTCGCTAACTTAATATTATTATAACTGACAACTGTTATAACTGATAATAGTATTTAATACTTTTTTTTAAATTCATTTGTTCACAAAATGAGACAAGTTCTCACCCACAGCAATGATGTATACATTAATACACACAAAATAATTCATCAAAAAATTATAATAAGCGCCATGTTAATATATTAACCACACAAATAAAAATATGATTTTTTACCTTAAAAAATATATATTTTTTATTACCGTCGTTTGATGAATATACTTATACATATATTAATATCATTAAAACGGTTCAAGGAAACTTGTAAGCTATAGTAATAATAATTATTCTCAAACCTTTATTCTACAGAATCGTATGTTTATATATTTCTTTAAAGTATATATTTTATTGAATATTATAAAAAGTCATACAACTAGGTATTAATTTTGTTTTGACATTAATCACGGTTGTAAGTCAATTTATTTTTATTGATTTTATTTAAACATGGGTTTAGAAAGGAAAAAAACAAAATGTTCCTCGACGTTTGACAAAATAATAATGTCGAAAATGATAAAATATAATTGTTGTATAAACTCAGCTTGTTAAAGACTTTTGAAGTATTTATTTTGTGATTTATATGGTAAATATTGAAACACACTGTCCACCATGACCGTTCGGATGAAATCCATCGATCGTATTTATATTATCGCAACAGCTTAGTACTAGATAGGTTACCTCTGATCGTCGATAAGAAAAATATGTATGTAGGAAAATACATGCATCTGTGAACGTTTCGTTTATTTGGCGTGCAAGTTGTTAAAAAGAAAAAAAAATGAATAAAAAACCGAACAATAGCCGTACTAGGTTGTCACAATAAATTTGGTCCTTGAAGCTTCAACCTGCCTTGAACCGTACCGGCCCAATAATTAATTCCAGCACCGTTTGCTGTACGCGTTTTACGCACTCATTTTAGAGGTTGTAAATAAACGTCGACATCCTTCTCGGATACATAAATATATATATATATATATATATAAATAAAATATTATTATTATTATACTTATAAGTTATGACCGAACGATTCCTCAAACTTATCCGACTAATCATCGTCGCGATCGTTAGCATTGACCGAAAAAAACGGCTGTCATAATATAAAAACCAAGAATAGGTATAATAATATCAACACCTCGACATTAACCACATCCGTTATCATAATAATAATATATATAAAAGTATAAATACTATAACGGAAACCGATTGGGAATAATATAATATTAATTATTACAAACATTGTCGGACAGTATTACATACTAGCGACGTGTTGCGGTATGTTTATTGAAATTACCATACACATGTATAGTATTTTTTCGGCTTTTGAAAATAATGTATAGTTCATACATGGATTAAAATGTGCTCAAAAAAAAAATTTTAATTTCATATTTTAAGATTTAATTGCTTGTAGTAAAAATTCAAAATATGTTTTCACTGTTGTTTGCAAAAAATATGCAACATCCAATTAGAATACATTTTAGTAATTTTCCGACTACTTTATAAAAACCTAAAAAAGAAATACATACCTATTATATTATTATTTATTATGTACACTTATCTGTGACATACCTACATAAAAAAAAGGTGACAGAAATATAATTTAATGTAAATAAAAAAATATGCGAAAAAAATGCTTTGATTAAGTATCAAGTCGTTTGCGGTATTTATATTATGAATTTCTGTCATAATGCCAAAACCTAAATTGATATTTTTGTAACTCAGTAAATAATGTTTATGATCGACAAAATATTTCCATAATACTTTTGAAAGATTAATTATATACTAATCGTTTGGTCTGTCACCAGTCACTTACAGGATTTTGAAAATTGTGAAATGAATATATTAATATAAATTCTAAAAATTCATTAAAGCTATAAGGAAAAACGGCATTTTTCTTATCACCGGTCTGATAAAAAAAAAAAAAAAATGATAACACCAAACAAAATTTACATTACCCCCTCCAACTATTTTACTAGTTTTAAAGTTGTGTTACAACACTAAGACAAGCGGTGCTTCTAATCGTCGTCGGCCATAGACGCAGGCAGAACAACCGGGCCAAGGTTATTGCGGTATATTATATACGTCCTATCGGGCTTGCACATCAAAAATAATTGAATACAATGAACTCTGCACACACACACACACATTTCATTCCCATTTCCTCCCTCTACAAAACATGATGATAATAATAATAATAATAATAATTATTATTATTATTGGCTGTTATAATAAGAGTAGTAACAACACAAAGGTTTGGATTATTTTAAACTAGCCAGTTATTATTATTGTTGTTGACGCCCCCCCCCCCCAAACTCGCGATTGGAAAAATAAAATATAATAATATTATCTCCTGCTGGAGTCCGGGCCACGTGCAGTCAATAGTCAATATAGTCGTGCCTGTACGATTTAAGTTTACAAGTAGGTGACAACACCCACGACGATAATGATGATATCAAAGGACAAATACCTACGCTGACTATTTATTACGGTAATCGGCTTTGGTCCACCGCTAAAAAAAATTAAACCACCCTAATAATATTGTTTTTTTTTTTTTTTTATAAACAGCGGCTCATGTACCTTGTGTATGTGTTAATCTAACAACTATTATGACGTATGGCGGCGGGTACATTGTATAATAATACTCAACAACGTCGCCGCGCCGTTCAGATATCCATGTCTGACATTTCCATAATTCGTTATACACCAGATGTCCCTGGACTAGTTGCACGAAGGTGGACATTGGGAAGGTCGAACGCATGGGGTCAAAAAACCTAGAGTAATTTTTTCCAACGATCACCTTGTGCAGGTGTTGTTGTGAACGCGGTTTGCTGAATACACTTAAGTGTTTGTGTGTACATCTTAATATGTAAAAAAATAATAATAATCTTCATCTACCGGCGACCGAGAAGATAATATTATAATAATTGTCCTAAAAAAAAAAAAATGAAAAAAAAAATGGTTACGTCGCGCTAATACTCGACACGTGCAAAGGGTTCGACAACAACAACGACCATCGACTATGTGGTAATTTGATAATGTAATTGTTGTCCCTTTGTAAGAATGGGGCAGGAGGGAGGGAGGTTAGGCTTACACTTAAGAAGTTGGAATTGTTTTCCAAGGGATTTGCTCTAAATGAGATAGCCAAAGAAATAAGAATGATTAGGTGGGTGAGACACCTGTCTGGGGGAGGGATGATAAAAAGGGGTAATCCAGGAAGATCCTTTAGGAAGGAGACCATAAAGCCACGGTTAAGGGGTGAAAGGATTGTGTTAAGCAAAAAACGTGAAATTAGGCCGAGGACAAGAAGAGATGGATAAAAGTTTATTTAGCGGCATATTTTAAAGTATTTAATGGCCGAAGCCCTGCTTGAAAAACTATCTATAAGTTAGGTCGACTGGACTTACGGGGCCGGACTTTAAGCTGAGACAAGGAGACCCTAGACACAAAATCCCATCCAAGACAGTGGTCTAAATACATAGCCCCCTTTTTTTTGATTCAGACCCCCATAGCTTTTTCAAGTCATCCCGAAAATTCAGCAAACACGTTTTAACGTTATTATAGTAATTTATTTTCAGCATTTAAGAGCAAGATGGAGTTTAGTCCCCCCCCCCTCCTTAAATAAAAAATTATGTAAGATGTTTATTGATACGTTAACATAAATTATTAGATTAATAATATAGTAATATAATAATAATTATAATATGATTTATTTATTTGTTTTGTTTATATATACTTGTGTCGTCCATCATCTGTGTCATTTTTTTTTTTAAAGAGCTTTCTTTATTTTTATTTTTTTATTTTTTTATCCTCAATCTTGAATACGGTATCCGACGGTCGTTCAACATTTATCGCGGTTTTCCCGTTCACGCCGTCCGAATTCTAAAACACATGCGTAAAAAAAAATCCATTTTTAACATCTCGTCAAGTACAATTATTATTTAAAATTTATTTAAAAACTGTCGACCATCATCATCGTCATAGCCCACATAATAGTATTTCAATAAGCGTAGCACATACAAAAATCCCATGCTCGGCGCAAGTGTCGCCGCGGGTTTTAGATAAGTATTTGATACATAGTTTTTTTTTTTTTTTGTTTTTAAATACATATTATATTACATTTTTTCTTATTAGGAATTACATCGTCTCGGACGTGTAATCATTACGGTTCTCTGTGTTATATTATATTTTATACTGCGGTTAGCTAACATCTGGCTACACTGGTTACGGCCCAAGGCCTGCGTGCTAGCGAAAAAGTGAAAGTGGCGAACCGAACGGCATTGAGCCAGTCCATCTACGTTAATGTTAAGGAAGGCGTTTTGATTATGCCGGTTGTGGCAATGCTCGGAGATCAATGAACCCGCTGCTGCTGCTGCTGCTGCTGCTGCGAGTTACAGTGGCAAAAAAACGTTCTTGTACAAAAAAAATTGTAGGGAAAAAAATGGATAAAAAAGACTTGCGCGTAATACAATAATACTATTGACAAGCGTGTACGCGAGAAACGGTTAACCTTATTACATTATAAATAATAATACACACACAAAAAACCACTAAGATTTAAAACAAAAATACTTGGGTGACTAGGTCCTACCTATAGGATCTTGTGAGAATACGAATCGTTTGTGTTTTATTCGATGATGCTTAAAGTAGAAAAAGTCCACCAACTACTCCTTGTTCGTAAATTACACATAACAATATATACATATATATATATATATATTATATTATATACATTCCTACTTTTTCAAACGTACGACAGAGAATAAAATTTATAAAAAATCAAAAAACAAAATTTGAGTTACTAATGTTTTTATAGTGCGCTTATGATTCATCTTATATTATCCCTTTCACAAAAAATAAATTAAACAACAAAAGTGATAAATAATTTGGCATATGAAATATTTTATTACTATTATTGATATTTTATTTTTGTAAGAAATTATTTTTAATGAGGCTATACTCCCTATTTTTTATCTCCTGGTTGGTCCCATCTTCGTACAGGGGGGGGGGTGGTTTCAGAAAACTGGTTAAGTTTAACCGAGAGTTTAAAAATAACGGAATAAATTTAACTATCGTTGCAAGACAAACCAAATTTCAAGGAAAAATTAACTTAAAACGGCACTCCTCTAAATAAATGTGTTTGTTTGATGCCACAAATTCTACTTGCAAACCGAAGATCACAACCCTGGCTAAATCGAAGCTTCTCTAACCTAATGAACCTGAACTAACCTATCGCTTATGGCGTGTGCTACTGTTTGAACTGTGACCGGAAACGTTAAGGTACGTCTTCGGTTATCGGCGAAAAAATTTCCAAAAAAAAGAAGCCAAGAAGACAATATTATTCGTCAACGATTATATTATAATACTCGGATCTTATGAGCTTGTGAGCGAAACAATTTTTTTTTTGAAACCTTGAAGTATCATTTAACCGAAAAATATGATTGTGGTTTTTTTTTTTGCCCATTCGATTGCAAAATTATTAACCGGCGACGAGCACGATCGACAACAAAATAATTTAACAATCTTTGATATTTTATCGATTGGTCGTGACGCAATTGACGGCCTGATGGATAATATTATTTTTTTAAAAATAAAAAATAATATTTTGCAGCCTTTTGTTTTACTGTGTGTTATAATAGAGCTAATGCAACGGACCGCGCAAGTATATACCTAATTATTATTATCGGTTTTTTTTTAACTTTTATTTTTTATTAGTCAGAGATAGTAAAAGTTTTATGTGCGCGGTATGTTATCCAATCAAAACAGGAAAACGGAATCGCAAGCAGCCAACAAGTCCAGAACCGGTGTAATAATAATATTAAGCGGTTGCTGTACGTTAACCCGAACGGTTTTATTTATTATAACCTTTCACCCAAAGAACTGTCTTATTGTACAGAAAAAAAAACTGTTATTTAATCCCAAGCACATAATATATGAAGGAGAGAGAAAAAAATAATGAAATACCAGCAATTCGCATTGTTTTTTTTTTTTTGTTAAATTTTAAGAGGAAATGCCAAGATTACCCTGTGGTTTGGCGTAAATCTTTATTTCAACTTATAACAGCTATAATACAATCAGAACACCACCAAATACTTGGCTTTAATGACTATAAGAAATGACAAAAATCATATTAAAAAAAAAACCGTCAGTAGAGGAGCTTCTACGAATGGCGTTTTACTTCTAAGCACTCGATTTAGGCTAAATGGGTAGCCCGTATAAGAATTGTCGTGCCGACATTTAATAGAGTTTTGGCTTAAAACGGTACTTGGATCAGTTTGGTTAGCAGTTGATTGTAAATACATGCATGTCAAAGTCGTCGGTGAAAAAAATCAAAATTAATAAGCCAAAATATATGGATTTTAATATTTTATATAAAACTAATAAAAAAAACTATGCCAGACATGTCACATGGGACTATATGTCGGTCTTTGTTAAAAAATAATGCAGATTTTTCCAAACTTGTGATGAAATTCCAAAAATGCTTTAAAAAAGTCAAAACCGTATAAACGGTCGGGATATAGCCACTGCGGTTTGTCATAAATTACTTTAAAAAAAAAAAAGGAATAGAACCCTTAAATTTTTGTACAATTAAAAAATGGCTACTTTTTTTTTGTTCTTAAAAAAAGCAATATTGATCTATATTTCCAATCAAACTACCCGATCTTGAGCCTCATGACCAGATTCAACTAGGGGACGGACTTATATATATATATATATTAACTAAAAGCGCGGGAAACTGCTTGGGCGCGGACAGAGGTTATTGATCGAATACATGTGCGACGATAACAATATCACATAAACGGTTGTTCGTGTCATAGGCCACAGTTTATAGTATTGTTATTATATTACAGTGTACCTATATTAATATACTTTTACATACTGACTGTGTGTATTGTAATAGGAGCCGGCAATTGAATTCGGTTGACCGCTCAGCGCCGCACGCAATAAGGAAATACTACCGCGGTTGACCTTAACCAAGGTGTCGGTTTGGCGGTTTCAAGGAAATCGTTGGGGGGAGCAATATCGGTTCTGTCTTGTCGGCGCTTGGAATAAAACCGATATTTTATTTTTCAACTGTAGCTAATTATTATAATATTGTCCCAAACGGCAAATCCGTCTCACGTCAATTATTATCACACTTCAGCTTCCAAAGGTCCGTAGTCGTGAACGTGGTCATGAACTTTACTGTATAGATTATGCACAGTTAACGCCCGTTTTGATAGTCGTGAAATTGTACCCGAGCCGGCAGATAGTTAGTATAGAAAGGAAGAGATGTTGTTCATTCGGGTTTACATTGGAAATTAGAACAAAATATATAAGTTAGCTTCTACTTCTTGAAAGGTTTTTCATATTTCAACGGTATTCATATGCAAACAAATTGGCTGAGAATCAACAAGGTTAACAAGGTGTAATCCGATTTAAAAAAACGTACAAACACAATTTTTAAATCTGTTTTATTATTACTGGATCGCTATAGTAGTACTTCGAAGTTAACGCGTTTGGGTTATGTGCGTTGCATATAGGTTTCGTTTGATACACGGTAATACAATGACCCCCGACAAGCATACACGTTCGCCTTTTATACACACACAATAATATTATACGAACCAGGCGAAAAGAAATCGCCTTGTTTTCACGCGACAACAGAGTGCAGTATAATACAAAACTATGTGTATATTGCAAGTCGGTTTCTAATCGTAGGCATGCGGCGGACGAGTGATTTTCCATAGAGCTTTTACCGACACTAAGACCAATACTTAATCGAAACGAAACAACTCGACTTGACACAAAAGTCACCGACCATCGGAAGTAAAAACCGTTAGGCGGATCCAAGACCAGAGCCGTATCCAGTGAGGGTTCATGAGGGGTCATCGCAGAGTTCAAATTTGTCCACGTTATAATATGACAATTTTAGGGTCCGATTCGAAATCGGGTAGGGCAAAAAAAAAGCCCACAGGTGAGGAAAACCGATTTTGAATTTGTAACGGATGTCCTTATAAGTCGTAACTGTACTTTGCTTTTTCAACGGGCTCTTTCCATTTCCCAGAGTTGAGAAAAATCCGGATTTCTAGGAGGGTAATGTAGGGTGTAAAGTAAAATATGTTTTATTTTTTTCAAAGCGTTTTACTATTTATGGGGGTCTACAAAATTGTGAAATCCATTTTAAAACAATTCGCCACTTCACATATTATAACCAACCCCATGGAGGGAGAGGGGGGGGGGTCAGAGTCGAACGCGTTTTCGACAGTGCATTTTGCGTCCGGCCCATAACGGTCACGTTCAAGGCATTTGCCGCTCCAATGAACAACAAAACCGTATGCGTCAGCTCAAAATACAAATGAAAAAAAAATGATAGGTAGCTAGATACTTGTAATTATTATTATTATTGGTATATAAACATCGAGATAAGAAAACCCATAGCAGTTGAGTGGGGCGACTCGTCCGACGTACCTTGACGATAAGGAATCCATTTATACGATTATGCGCTTTTGGCGGTTTCCAAACGTTTCCAAAGTCGTCGTCGTCGTCGCGGTCGAGGTCGAAACAATAATAATAATAATAATAATAATAATCACTCGACACTATCGCGGATTAGAGTTATCAGAAGTGAAAAAAAAAAAAAAAATACAAATTGTACGTATGTGTTTTTTAAAAACAATTTTTTTTTTTTTTTTCCTAAACAACAATCAATACTCTCGGCTAAACGGAACGACGTGCACTGGGGGAGACGACGTCGATGGGGAACGCGTTTCCGAACCGTCTGAACGACCAGACACTTTCTCTCGGGTCCGCACCGCTATCCTTTCTCCTTTCGTTTATATTACACGCGGCCACAAGACGTACAATGATAACATTGCACTCACTCGATTACACTACACTAA